ATTACGTTGTCTCCTGGAGGGCTGCATTCCAAACTTAAATAATTGATGATCTTTCTAAAGATGAAATCTAAAACCATCAGAATCACTTCATTCCATTCCAAAATAGCATTTGTACATGTGTACGTGTGTATGCATCCCCACATCTTTTAACGGGCATACATTTGAATTGACATACAGAACTATTACTCTTGATTCTTTGAAATCCCATCAAATAAAACTGCAATTACATTAAAAAGTCAATATTGGGGGCATCAAATTTCTCTGATATCGAAAAAATGAAGAAAACTTGTTCTGATTTGTCAAAAAAAAAAGATTACAAGAATAGCATAGGACAGGAGCTGGTTACCAGAAAATGACTGCTCAGTGGTCCATGGAAAGCCTTCTTTCCCCTATTTATATCATACGATATTCCTGGCAGAATCCTCCTTTGGCAGGAAATAGAGGATTATAAGTGTGTGGACTTCAAACTACCTTCTTTCTCCTTGAACAGTTATTTTCACCATAATTCATCTCTCAGGTGGTATCCTCAACCTTAATACTTTACTTCTAGCTTTATGTGCATGGTGTTAAAAGAAAGTAGCTAAAATTGTGTGAAAACGAGAAGAGCATTTTCTTCTCTCTTTTTTTTTAAAGATCTTATTTATTGATTTGTCAGAGAGAGAGCGCGCAAGCAGGGGGAGCAGCAGGCAGAGGGAGAAGCAGGCACCTCGCTGAGAAAGGAGCTCCATGCAGGAGCGGGTCACTACCTGAACCGAAGGCAGATGCTTAACTGACTAAACCACCCGACAACCAGAGAAGAGCATCTTCTGAAATCGAATTATTTTAGGGTCAAATATGGAATTTTTTTTTAACATTAAGGATAGGTATTTCTATTCAGAGCTTCATCTTGCCATATTTCAGAAAAGGATTTTTTTTTTTTTTTTTAGCCCTGGACTGCTGTTGGGATTCAGAGGTATTTGATTTGTTTGTTTTGTTTTGTTTCATTAACATATAATGTATTACTTGTTTCAGGGGTACAGGTCTGTAAATCATCAGTCTTACACAATTCACAGCGCTCACCATAGCACATACCCTCCCAGTGTCCATCCCCCAGCTACCCCATCTCTCCACCCCCTTCCCCTCCAGCAACTCTCAGTTTGTTTCCTGAGATTGAGAGTCTTTTATGGCTTGTGTCCCTCTCTGGTTTCATCTTGTTTCACTTGTCCCTCCCTTTCCCTGTGATCCTGTTTTGGTTCTCAAATTCCTTATAGCAGCTAAATCATATGATAATTGTCTTTCTCTGATTTACTTATTTCACTTAGCATAATACCCTCTAGTTCAAAGGTATTTAAAAATTGGGTTTGCCCCTTCAAGTTAAAAAGGCCAAGTGTGTCTGCCATGAAGTCATTAAGGCTGATCAATATTGCAATGCCAGGAAAAGTAGGCCTGGACAGTGACACCCCCTCAAGAAGGAGGGATGAGCTGGAGACGAGTCAGCTGTAAAGCATGAAGATCGAGGTTCATCAGAAGCAGCAGAAACTAAAGTGGGTGAGAACCAATCACTTGGCTATCAAGAGACACAGATTTTTTTGTTTGTTTTATGTGGAAGCTTCCAAGAAATTAGAAAGCCAAGCAGGTACAGTAAAATAGCTGCACTAGAAAGAAAATGATAACTACTGTTCACACAAATCACATATTGTTCTTTGGCCGCAGTCCTCCTTGGTGCTTGAGGTAAGTGTGGTGGCTTATTTTTTTATTTCTGATTCTGTAACTGAAATAGAAAGATACAAAAGGCTGTGCAACATGGATGCCCCCTCTCTCTCCATACCCACACCTCAACGTGCATTCACAGCTACAACTCCTTCCTGCTGTGCTCTCAGTGCTGTCAAGGAGCCTCTTCAATGGTTAAAAATAAAACAGAATAGTTGCGATGAATCAAGATACAAAAACTAGCTAACTTAGACCCTCATGAACAACTCAAAACCTGGTGCTTTCTAGGCTTTATATCTACCCCGTGTTCTTGGCAAACACACGTTTATTAGCTTACCTTTCCTTGAATAACCATAAGAAGTCTTAAAATCCTGATAACATTTTCTGGGAATTATAACACTTTCCAGTTGTAAGGACCTATTTTATATTTTTATTTTAGCCAGAGGCTTCCATTGAGGTTAAACAATAACTTTGTTGTTTAACCCTTAAACTGTCCCTGCTCCCCTTCCCCCAGGGGACTTAAAAACAAGACCCGGAAACCAGTTCCAGGTGTGGAGGTCAAGAAAAACAAGGCTGTACCCACCTCGAGTCTAGCCCTGACATAAGTACAGCCATCTTGGCAGAGCAAAAGCTGGCACCTTGCACTGTAAGAGTGGGTTAGCATAAGAATGGCCATCCTGAAGGCCGTGGAGCCATTTTACTGAGCGTCCCTAACCAGCCCACACGTGGGTGACTTGAGATAAGAGGAACTAGCTAAAACCTGAAAAAACAACTTAATCGTATACCACCAGGGCAGTTAGGTGGTGGTGCCACAGGGACCACATGTTAAAGAAAAACAAATGGTTAACTTGCAGAGATCACAATCCTGCAAGACAGGAATCTCCCTTGGTTTGCAAATGTCCTGGTGATTTACAACAAAGAAGCTGTCTTCTCAATAGCTCAATTTCCCGGGACAAATGGCTCAGTTCCTTGAGGCCTGGTGTCACTCTCCCCACCATAAAACTGAAGGAGGCTGAGGCAGAAGGAAATGTAAATAAAGTTAAATTTCTCATAAACCTAAATCTCACTTAACTGCCAGGACGGCGCCAGGGTGATGCCGGGGGCAAAAAGTTAAACAAAATTAAACTGTCAAAGTGTGGCGCAAGATATGTATGTAGCTATGAAAACATGCCTTGAAAATGCTATATAAACCCTTGGCTCTGACAACTCGGGGTCCTTGCTGAAACCCGCTGCGCCGGGCAGATACTTGGACCCCAGCTAGCTGGAAATAAACCTCGCTGTGTGACTTGCATTATCGAGAGTGTTCTCTGTCTAACTGAGGGCTGGTCGACTCCGTACCCTAACACCTGTATTGCATACTATTAAGCCACTGCTATTGGTAGCAATGGAAATTTTGCATTTTCATAAAAAATATTTTCATAACAGCAAGTCCTTACTCCCTACAGTCATATTTGATTTCTAGAAACTGACACCTGTAATGAAATAAATTACATCTGATAATGGTATCACAACCCATTGGTGCACATGCTCAAAAGCTGGGTGAAGACCTCAAGCCAATGGCCTGTGTGACTGGTGGTGCTCTGAAGGGGATCATCAGAGTCACATTCTACCTGTACCAGCAACTCAACCTGCATTTGCAGTAGCAATTGCCCTCCCCACTTTACCATCGTAAAGAAGTGTGTTTAAAATGGGGCACCTGGGTGGCTCAGTGGGTTGAGGCCTCTGCCTTCGGCTCAGGTTACAATCTCAGGGTCCTGGGATGGAGCCCCATATCAGGCTCTCTGCTCAGCAGGGAGCCTGCTTCCCCCTTTCTCTCTGCCTGCCTTTCTGCCTACTTGTGCTCTCTCTGTCAAATAAATTAAAAAAAAAATTTTTTTAAGTTAATTAAAAAAAAAAAAAAAAGAAGGGTCGCCTGGATGGCTCAGTGGGTTAAAGCCTCTGCCTTCAACTCAGGTCAGGATCCCAGAGTCCTGGGATATAGCCCCGAATCAGGCTCTCTGCTCAGCAGGGAGCCTGCTTCCTCTTCTCTCTCTGCCTGCCTCTCTGCCTACTTGTGATCTCTGTCTGTCAAATAAATAAATAAAATCTTTAAAAAAAAAAAAAGTGTGTTCAAATGGTTTTGAAATCAACCATGGAAAATACTACTTTGCAGAGTCCCTGTTCATAGGTATATTTCCAAACATTATTATTGAGGTAAATGAATGATCTCTCTCAGAGAATCCTGCTTTTACCTTCATTCATAGACATTTAAAATACTGTCATTGCAGCACCTCTTCTACAAGTTTGACTTGAAACCTTGGTAGTCATGCCAAGATCTAGCAATCAAGCATTCAGACTACAGGCAATGATGCATATACAGGGGCACCTGGGTGGCTCAGTTGGTTAAACATCTGCTTTTGGCTCAGGTCATGATCCCAGAGTCCTGGGATCAAGCCCCACATCAGGGCTCTTTGCTCAGCAGGGAGCCTGCTTCTCCCTCTGCCGGTCAGCCCCTCCCCTGACAAATAAATAAAAATTTTAATATATATTGCATATACAGGTTTTCTGGGGCTCCATGGATTTAATAATTCTGATAATTTGTTCTGATTCATTTTGTTGCTGTTTTACCTTCTAGTTCTATGGACTTTTTGTTGATTTCTGCTCAGAGCAAACTGCTTTTTTGTTAGATATCTTAGCTCTACATCTTCTATGATTTAATATACTAGTTTCTCTTGGTTGTCTGAGCCCTGCAATTTATCAGCATTTTGAGGCTTTTTTTTTTTTTTTTAAATCCCAAAAGGACCAAAAGAGATCCAACTCATCCATTATTAGAGGTTTCTGGATTACATCCCTCTGCTCAGCTCAAGATTAGGCATTTCCTTCTGAACTACTTGGTCTACAATATCTTGAGGGAAACTAGGACCATAATTTTACCAACTTATTTTCTCAACTGGATGCATGTTCATTGACTGATTCTTTACCTTCAACTTAGCCATAAATTAACAGTCCTGCCTCCAAAGTCAGTGATGCAATTTTTGTGTACACTGCGTTAAAATGAGGCACTTTCCAGATCTGTGCTGAGTGCTTAACACACCTCATTATATGATCTGATCATAGACCATCTCCAGAATCCACCCGTCAGTGCCCTCCTACTGTGTTATGCTCCAAATCTCTGCAGCCACTTTTCTTTCCTTTAACAAAGAAATTTCATTCCTGCTCTAGAGTCCCTACAGCTGCTGTTTCTAGAAATCTCTGCTCCAAAATTTTCCTGACCTGCACCTTCCTACAGTTTAAGCCTCAGATGAAATGTCAATGGTGTCTTACCTGATTTATCATTCAGAACGAGTATCCCCATCTCTTCACACACACACCACACAAACAAGGAAGTTTCCAGGTGGTTCCCAAGGAGGAGGCAAGAATGACTAGCAGCCTAAGCAGATAAACAGGCCATTACTTTGTACGGTCAAAGCTCTGAAAGTCTAACTTTTTCAGAGTTTCAGAAGTTGATATAAGGTTAAAGTCTTAGCTTTTGCATGATATAGTTCTGAAGTGCCTTCTGTAACAGAATGATAATCCATACTATTTTCATGAAGAGGCCATTTGGTTTCATTTTAATTGTTTGCAAAACAGCACTCTGTATGAGAACTTGCAGGAGATGAAGAAGAGATCTGAAACGATTTTGAAGACACCGTGCCCTGTGCTAATAAGGACACAGCAGATGCTTAATAATACTTGCTGACTGATTACACACGTAGCATATTTAAAAATGACAATGACATTCTCTGACAGGTTATACAAGTCAACACTGTGGTATGAAATGAGGACTGCGGAAATGAGGTACGACGACAGAATCTCCCTCCCACTCCACTGCTACCAAGAGTAAGTCATTCTGAAGTCATTCCTTTCCTTTTTCATGAGGGAGCTCTTCCTAAAAGGCAAGAACTTCAGGAGATTGTAGCAAATCCCTACTGGGTTATATATTCAGGCTCTCTTGGGCAAGAAATCCACCCCCAACTTGACCCCACCAATAATGGGGCTCCTGAAGCTAACTGTCTATGTGATTTTGCCCTAACTAGGCCAGTCAGGCTTCTTCCAGGTACTTAAATTTCTAATCTAAAAGTTAAAAAACCTGAGAGTTCCGAATATTGTAAGATAAACAGTGGAGTTCTACTTCTGTCCAATATAGGAGCCACTAGCTGCAAGATGTTACTTAAAATTAAAATTCAATTGCAATTATTAAAATCAAAAATTCATTTCCTCAGTTGCGTTAACCACATTTCAAGTGCTCAGTATTATAGGCCATCTCCATCACAGACAATTCTATTAGACAATTCTATTAGCTCTAGAAGAAGACTCAACAAAGACCATCTTACAGACCAAATCTTTTTGTATAAACCATAAGTTTTTTTTTCATTTTAAAATGGTTTAAAAAAATTTTATAAGAATATTTTCAGACATGTGAAAATTATGTGAAATTCAAATATCAGAGTTCACAAGTAGTTTTATTGAAACAGAACCATGCACATTCATTTACATATTACAGATGGCTGCCTTCATGCTACAGTGGCAGAATTAAGTGTGTGCAACAGAGATCAGATGACCAGCAAAGTCTAAAATATTTATTATCTTGACCTTTATAGAAAAAGTTTGCTAACTCCTGCTCTAGAGAGACGTGCTAAGGTCTCAAAGCATTCTGAGAATTTACGAAATGACCACATAGTACTTACACTGGCGTGCTAACGACTTTCAGATCTGTGGGAAGGTTTTTTCATTACTGTGATGGAGACCTGAAAGGAGAAGGACAACTGTTAAAAAGTGGTGTTGGAGGGAATAAAAGGGAAAAATGTCTTCTTCCCCAATATCAACAGGTGCTAGGGCATCGTCATATTACTGTGCTTCCTTCAGTGTATCCAAGCCCCCCACTGTCTAAAAAGGAATGGAAAAAAAAAGAAGCCCTCCCCTTTCCCTGATCTAAACCAGGGACTACTAGATCTCCCTTATGAGAATCCTGCTAAATTCCCTTTAAGTGAACACAGCACCAACTCTCCCCGCAGCCTCACAGCTAGACATGCAGGCCAGAGCTGATGGGCATAATTAGGCTTCAAACCAGATGTAAGTGCAATCAGGGTGGAAAATACACCACAGCATCCTTGGTGAACTGTGAACTCCTCCCTACACCAAAAGGAGGCACACCAGTTTTGTGTGAGTGTTTCTTGAAAAGATGTCATTACATCAGGGTAATCACAAGTCAAGAAATGTCCAGGGTCATGCACCTTGTATGAGTTCTACTTCACTGGGCCTTGCCATAAATTGACAGAAGAAAAAGAATCCCAGGCAGAAGAATACAAGAGATCAAGACACAATTCCTGAAATGGGTACAGATATGAAAGTGTCCAGGGGCTCAGAAGAAAGGCTGAGCTTCACGGAAATTCTGGGTCACTTGCTGTGACAAGTAATTCTCAACTCAGGACTCACAATAGGAGACCCCGGAGATTCTTCTCTCTAATAATGAGCTGACAAATCACATTTCATTTTCTCAAGGAGGTGCCAGGTAATCATTTTGCCTCTGGCTCTAATATAATCACTATGGGAAAGTGGGTTAGAGCACCAGCATGACATCAGATGACCTGAATTTGAATCCTGTCCCCACCACTTAGTAGCGGCCTCATTTATCTCAATTGTAAAATGAGATACCTATTTATGAGTTTGTTTGGATGAATGACCAAGATATAGTTCAAGTGAAAGTGCTTACCACTGAAATAGGCAAGAGCAGTAAATATGGATGCTTATTTGGAAGATATCGCTAATGGCCTAGCCAATGCCAATCACTGCCACCACCCTCTTTGCAGATTCCTGAGAATATTCAGTCACTGTCTAGTTCTAAGCAATAGGTCATGATCTGTTTAAATCCAGTTTGACACCCTTGTGCCCCACTTTCCTAGCCCCCCTTGCAGTAGGGCTTGTCAGGTGTCCATTCCAATTCTAGCCAATGAGAGCTTACTAAAAGGTGCCCAGATGAAGGATGGGATGGGGGTGGGGAGAGGTAGGTCTGGGAAAGCTTTGGTTTTCTCAGATGGAGAGGGGCACAAATGAAGTAACACATATGAAGAAAAGGCCACAAGAATTTCAGAGCTACCACAATAACACCCCACAGCCACTAGACCAATAACCAATATTCCAGACTCCCCATGCGGTGAGAAAAATAAACCCTACCTATTGGGCATCTTCTAACGTTCACCTTTTCTTAAAAATAGATTAGATAAAGGCACCCAAGGCACCCTGATTAATTTTTTTTTAATTTCCCTAGAAATTTGTCAGTCACCATATGGAAACAGGAAAAGAAGTGGAAAGTGTCAACTAGGGTTTCTGTCCCTTGAGATTACCTCCTAGGGAGTGTGTCTAAGTCCTGATCCTCTCCTACTCCATTAGCAATCTACAATGCCATGGAGAGGTCATCATGGATACCACAAGTAGCCACACTTCCCTCTGGCTGAAACCATCTAATGCTCCTGGGAGACAGACACAAGGACAATAAAAAGTAGCTGACACTTTTCGAGTACTTACCATATGCAAGGGACTGTTCTAAGACTGTTATACATATTGACTCACCTAACACAATTATCCACTGACATCAGTGCAATTATTAAATCTCATTTTAGAAAATGGAGACACTGAGGCACAGAAGAGTTGAGTGACGTGCCTAAGGGACCACAGCCAAAAGATGATGGAACCAGGATCCAGACTCAAGCAATATTTAAACAGTACATGTTAGCACCTCTCCCTCTGAGGTGGCAATAAGCCTGAGGTTCAGCAAGGTAAGGAGTTAGAAGGATCTGGTGAACTGATCTGGCAGACCTTTGGAAAACACCCATCTCTTATTTTGCCGAATCATCTTTATCAAGCTCTGATGAAGAGATGAACCTAAGGGGAAAGGAAGTCCCTAGAAGAGAGCTATAAACGTAGCAATCCAGAATTTCGTTGGTAGGATGCCAATAATCCCCTCCTGTATCAGTGCTCAGGGTGTCGGGATGTAGCATGTACTCTCCCATCACCCTTGACCCCGACACCAAGGTGACATTTGTCCAGCATAATATCCATGCATCATCTCAGCACCTAACCTGGGGAACTGCCCTCGGGCTTCTAAAGCAACAGTCTCGAGGAAGGCTCATCTAAAACTCGTATAATTTGACAAAGGCCTATTACCGGGAAGCAGAGACACAATGCTTGTTTTGAGCTAAGCTGTCCTGTTTGGGGTGACTAACTCAGCTGAACAAGACAACTGTAACATTTTCTTTTCATATCATACCTGAAGTGCATTATGTATAATTTCATTTTAAGAGAAAGGAATAGTTTAAATGACCAGTAAAAGCACCTTTTGTTTCTACTGGTTCTGTTTCTACTGTCGCATTTCTTATAGAACCCGAATTCATGTTTGCTTATGTACTCATTTGTTTAAGATACAAATGACTGAGTTCTTGCAATGTGACAGGCAAAATGCAAAATCATATTAACAAAGCAAGAGATGGGCCCCATATCCCTTCTATTTCTTTCTGGAGGTTTTAGGAGTGGAAACTATATTTCATGCTGGTACATTCATGTATCTTTTATTTGCCTGTACCCATGAAACAGAACCTTGAATTCTGATAAGCATGATGGTAGCAGAGTACAGATAGGCAGCTCTTCTGGAGAGGGTCTATTTGGAAAGTGATTAGCATTTGAATTGAGAAATGATTGATGACTGAGGACAATAAAATGTTTAAGGCAGGGGTTCCAAAAAAGGAAGCCTGACTTTTAAAGCATTTGATAAATGCCTGACAGATTTTACCTCACAGATCCATTCTTTGTTATTCTAAAACATCTATTCCTTCCATGATTCCATGCCATCCTAAGACAGTCTACTGCCCCCAGGGATGGATGGACACACACACACACACACACACACACCCTCAAACACTAACTGTCACCATCCATCCTCTCCCCTTCCCTAAAAAACGTAGATTTAGGAAATTAAAAATTCTTTTCTCCTCACATACACACACAAAACAAGTCTGCTGAATTTACATCATCACGAAATTGCCTGTTTTGATGGGTGGTAATTGTTAAGGAAACGGTCTGTCTGTATTTTATTGATCATCTTAAAGGAGTCCAGGAACCTACAGAATTTAGCTACTTTTTCAGGAACAGAAATAGGTCCTAATTTTGCAAATTATAAAAGGCCACATGAGGGCTATTTTTAAGGGGAAAAAAACCATATTGCATACCTTTTAAAAAGGGAGACACCATCCAAGGCTACATTTAAACTAGATAAAAACAGAGAAATGAAACTCAGATTACCTTTTTTAAAAGAGAGAGAGCACAAGCAGGGAGAGTGGCAGAGAGAGAGGGAGAAGCAGACTCCCCGTTGAACAGGAACCCAAGAAATAGACCTTAATGCCACGATCCCATGATCCCTTGATCGTGACCTGAGTCAAAGGTAGATGCTTAACCTCCTGAGCCACCCAGGAAGCTTATCCTCCTTTCATTGATATCAAGAAAAGGAAAGGAGTCTAGGGCCACAAAGAGCACAATTACCACAATTAGCCTGGAAGGATGACACAAAATGAGGTGTGAAGAGACCATTTGGTAAGTCAGAACACAAGTTTATCTTTAATCTGGGATGGACGTGGACGTTGTCTTCACCGCAGCTCTGTGACCCTTACTTGGTCGGAAAGCTTTACGATCAGGGATCACTTCCTGGAATGACAATGTAAACTGTTTTTTATATCAACTCATTAGATTCTCTCCAGCCCTGATGGAAATGAAGGAGGCAATTCAGGAAGAAAGCTATAGGTGGTTACACGGTTCACCTCTCCTCTAGATTTACAACAATTGCTTTGTGTTTAGGCTTTCAACCCCTTTGGCACTGCCACTTGCCAGAAATCCTTAATAAAGCTGAAGAGAAGCAAAACTGTCAGCTGCAATAGAAGGCCACAACAGATGAATAATATATTTCCAAATTAATTGAGTATGAACAGTTGGCCATGTCTGCCAGGTTTATTTTATTGTATGATTTGCAGGCTAATAATGAAGACTGAGTTCTTAATTATAAGATTTGCATTCCTCCACTCCATCATAAAGGCTCATACAAAAGCTGTTTTTTCCTTTAATGAAATGAGGATTTGAATGCATGATGGGGAAGGGATGAGGTTGGCAAACCTAAAGATTTCCTAACTAGAATTTAAGGTCTAGAGGTCCATCTCAAGTTACCAAAGTGATCAGTAATAAAATTCAGCTCCTGGTCTCACAGTTCTAGACATTCCATTTTTTGCACTATGGGCAGGAAAGAAAATGTGGTATACTTTTTTTTTTTTTTTTTAAATATATGAAGAAACCCATGTTGGAAGAAGATGATGGAGTAGGAGGGACCTAAGCTCACCGTGTCCCTTTAATACAACGAGATAACAGCCACATCAGTGTAAATAACCCAGAAAACAACCCAAAGACTACCAGAACAGACTCTCTGCAGCTAAATGGAGAGAAGAGGCCACATCCAAGAAGGTAGGAAGGGCAAAAAAGGTCAGGACATAAAGGGACCTGTGGGATCGTCCACGGGAGGGAGGGACACCACAGGAGTCAAGAAAGAAAAGAAATAGACATTAATGCCACGTATGCAAGGCATGGGGAATCTCCACAACATTTGGCTTTGAAAACCCGTGGGGCATAACTTCAAGAGTTCTTATAGTCAGCAGGTCTACACACCTGGAACTTTGAAAATCAGCAGGCTTGGTTCTGGGAAAGCCAGGAGAGT